GGAGTATAACATCTCATTCTACTGGTTGTACATGATGTAGTATTACTCTGGTTGTGTAATGCACATAGGATAGTAATGTCCAATTTATTCTACTGTCTTTTATATTCCCATGCCCCTTCTCTTCTCCCCTTTGTCTAATCCAATAAACTTTTTATTCTTCCCTATCCCTGCCCTCTTATTGTAAGTTAGTAGATCCATATAAGAGAGAACATTCTGTCTTTGGATTTGGGGGATTGGCGTATTTCGCTTAGCATGATAGAATCCCGTCCCATACATTAACAGATAAATACCATAATTTCATTTATCTTTATAGCTGAGTAATGTTCCATTGTGTATATATACCACATTTTCTTTATCCATTCATGTGTTGAAGGGCACAGTAGTTTAGCTATTGTGAATCAAGCTGCTACAAACATTGATGTGGCTGTGTCACTGTAGTTTGCTGATATTAATTACTTTGGTATATGCCAAAGAGTAGGATAACTGGGTCAAATGATGGCTCCATTCCAAGTTTTCTGAGGAATCTCCATACTCCTTTCCTTAGTGGTTGCACCAGTTTGCAGTCCCACCAGCATTGTGTGAGTGTACCTTTCCCCCCCATATCCTCACCAACATTTACTGTTTCTTATATTCTTGATAATTGTCATTCTGACTGGAGTGAGATTAAGTCTCAGTGTAGTTTAAATTTGCATTCTGTAATTGCTAGTTATGTTAAACATTTATTTTCATATATTTGTTGATGAATCTTATTTCTTTTTCTGGGAAGTACCTGTTCACTTCCTTTGCCCATTTATTAATTGGGTTATTTGAGGTTTTGGTGAAAAAAAATTTAAAGCATTCTCTCTAAAGACAGTGATGCCCTCTTTCACCAATTTTATTCAACCTTGTCCTTGAAACTCCAGCCAGAGCAATTAGACAGAGGAAATAAATTAAAGGGATACAAATAGGAAAAGAAGAGTTCAAAAATCCTTGCCAATGACATGATTCTATACTTACAATACCCAAAATATTCTACCAGAAAACTTCTAGAACTCATAAATGAATTCAGAAGACGAGAAAATATAAAAATAAGAATCATAAATCAATGGATTTCCTATACATATATGATGAATCTACTGAAAGAGAAATTAGGAAAACTATCCCAGTCACAATAGCCTCAAAAAACCCCACAAAATATTTGGAAATCAATCTAACAAAAGAAATGAAAGACTTCTACAGTGAAAACTACAGAATACTAAAGAAAGAAACTGAAGAAAACTTTAGAAAGACCTCCTATGCTCTTGGATAGGCAGAATTAAAAATGTCAAATGGCCATATCACTTAAAAGTATTACAAAAATGTAATGTAATCCCTATTAAAATTCCAATGAATCATTTATAGAAATAGAAAAAAAGCAATCATGAAATTCATTTAAAAAAATAAGAGACCTAGAATTACCAAAGCAATCCTTAGCAAGAAAAGTGAAATGACAGGCATCACAATACCAGCCTTAAACTATACTACAAAGCTATAGGAACAAAAATGGCAAGGCATTGGCACCAAAATAAACATGTAGATCAATGGTACAGACTAGGGACTCTCTGACAAACCCATAAAAACACAGTTATCTCACACTAAACAAAGCAGCCAAAAACATACATTATAGAAAAGATAGCCTCTTCAACAAATGGTGTTGGGAAAACTGGAAATCTATATGTAGCAAAATGAAATTAAACCCCCATCTCTCCCCTGCAAAAAACAACAACAACAACAACAACAAAAAACAAACAACAACAACTCACTCAAAGTAGATCAAGGATTTAGGTAATAGACCAGAGACCCTGAACCTAATAGAATAAAGATTAGTTCCAAATTTCCACCATGTCAGCTTAGGAACTGACTTCCCTAACAAGACTCCTAAAGTGCAAAAAGTAAAATCAAGAATCAACAAGTGGGATGAAATCCCATTAAAATGCTTTTTCATAGCCAAAGGAACAATCAAGAGTAATAATATGAAAAGAGAACCTACAGAATGGAAGAAAATATTTTCCACCTGCACCTCAGGTGGAGCATTAATCTCCAGGATATATAAATAACTCAAAAACCAAATAACACAATTAATAAATGGGCAAAGGAATTCAACATGCATTTTGCATTCTAATGCAAGTTTCTTTTTCTAGTATAAGGAATTGAACACAGCACATATGGTAGGAAAGTACTCTATCACTGAGCTTTATACTGACCCTTTTTTAAAAATTTATTTTGTATTATTTTATTTATTTGTTTGTTTGTTTATATTTTCATACTGGGGACTGAATCGAGAGGCACTCAACCACTGAGACATATCCCCAGCCTTTTTTATGTTTTATTTGGAGACAGGGTCTCACTTTTGCAGAGTTTGGCTTTGAACTCACAATCCTCCTGCCTCAGCCTCCCAAGTGTGCATCAACCATGCCCAGCTTTAATTTTATTTTGAGGCAGAATCTGGCTAAGTTGCCCAGGCTTGTATTGAACTTGTGATCCTTCTGTTTCAGCCTCTGGAATAGCTGGGATTATATGTGTATGCCACCATGCCTGGCTCTAATACAATTTATAAATTTGTGTTTTCCTAAATTTATTTTTTTTCTTTGCTCAATTTCTCTATTTATTTATTTTATCTTGTTCTAATTATTTTAGTTATTTATATAATGAACAAAAAATACTCAAGTCCCTATTATTAAATCATGTAATGGACATTGTACTGATTACTTCAATTCAATGATGGATACATACGACCTCTGTCCTCAAATATCTCACAGCCTAGAAGAGAAGACATTCACTTAAGTTAGTATTTATAGTAGAATGGCACGAACATAATGGTAAGGAAGTTTATAAAATAATATTATTTTATAAATGGGAAAAACAAATCAAATACATCAAATAATTTTTTTCTGAGGAAAAATAATTAAACTAAGTGCTAGGTAGAATTTAAACAAATAAAAAATAAGGAGAATAAAGCTCTAATGGAAAAAAATCCAAAGAATGTTTAAATAAATTGAGAGCTAGTTCATGTTTGTGGATGTGAAGTTCAGTTTGTTAAGATGTCAGTTCTCCCCATTCTCCATCAATTCGATGATCTTTACCTAAATCCCAGAAATGACTGGGTATGGTAGAGCATGCCTGTAATCCCAGCAACTTGAGAGGCTGAGGCAGGAAGATTGCAAGTTCACTGCCAAAATATATATATATATATAAAAAAAATGTTTTAGTGGCTTGTATATGTAGCTCAGAAGAAGAACATCCCTGAGTTCAGTCTCTAGTACCTGCCCCTGCCAAAACAACAACAATAACAACAACAACAAAAAACAATCCTGAAATAATTTTGTGGCCATTAACAAACCAATTCTAAAATTTATGTGTGATACAAAATGACCCCAAATATTAAATATAATACGAAAGAAAAAGAACAATACCCAACTTTACTTCTTATTATAAAGGCTTACTTCTTATTATACAATACCCAACTTTACTTCTTATTATAAAGCTTTCATATTCTTGCTATTGTTTTCCTGGACTCAGTTAGACCCCTTGTGTTCATATGCAGTTTGTGCTCATCTGACTTATGACATCCTTCCACAAGTCTCCAGAACTGTGTTTCTCCCCTCCGCAGCTCTCCATTTTATGCTGTTCTTCCACTTTTATTCTAGCAATATAGGTTTCTTTGCACTCCCAGGTCCGCCTCTTCTGCTCAGGAATCTTCTGGGTACTCAAAGCAGTAAACTGAAGCAATCTTAAAGTATGTCCCCTTTGTTTCTGGTCACTCAAGCTTTTCTCTTCTTTGTTATCTGAGGTGCAGCCTCTTTTGAAACATTGTTTCACAAACTTCTTTCTGGATTCTTTAGATTCCAGTGCCAGAACTAATTAGGTCCCTGCTTTTGTGTTTTAGCTAGAAGTGGAAGTCCCCAGGACACTTTTGGAATAAAGAAAGGCAGTATTAATATTCATCCCCAAACAATAGAATGTGTTATGCTCATCCTTCTCCGAAGTCAGGTGAACAGGGATTTAAAAAGAAGGAGAGAGTGATCAATATGATTCATTATATCCATTGTTTTGGCAAGTAGTGGAGAAATTTGAGACCAGAGAGTCCTGATAAATAGAATGGTTAGATTAAATGTAGATTACAGTGAAGTAATGATTAAATAAGAGCCAAGACATGAAAATATCAAAGGAAGATGAGTTGAGTAGTGATGGAAATGTATTAGATAACATTTGTAAAGGAACAAAGAATCAATGGAAGATGTTTTTGTTCTCTGTGCAAACTTTCATTGTTATAAAAAGGAAAGAAAATTAAAACTGACTGTGAATAGAAAATGAGTGACAATGACCTATAGACCAGTCACCAGTCTGTAAATAAAGCCATTGCTATTCATTTACAGTATTGTCTATGGCTGCTTCTGCCCTATACAGTACAGATGAATTAATGTGACAGAGGTCATATAGTCCCCAACCTGAGAACATGCATGTTCTGACCTTTTACAGAAAAGGCTTTCCAATCCCTGCATCATCTACTTAACATGCAATGAGCATCTATTTCCAGTAGTCCAGAACTCCCAATTCAGCAGGAATCCTTTAAAATGTTATTATACTAACACAGATGACACATTGATAATTTTATGGAAAATGAAAACAGTAGTCTTGTATATTTCATCTAGCATAATTCAAGTTTAAAAGTAATTTCTCAAAATTAAATTATGTGTGTTCTTTCTTAATATAACAAAATAAAGTTAACATTGCACATATGATTTTGTGGGCAAATTATTTTTAAAAGTGCAATAGATTTTATTATTTAAAATAAATTTTGTCTTAATAACTTGGCCATGTATGTTGAATTATAGGTATCTATGATTTCAATAAGGAAGGGTAGCTGGTATTTATGTCATTTAATTTTCAATGTGGAATATATAGTTTTCTATCATTTTCATAATGTGATTTTGATAAACATTGTCTGACTCAAATTTTAATATTTTTTCAACTTTTTCTAGGCAAAGATGTCAAGCCTAAACCTCCACGTATGTTATATGCATGTCAAATAAATAAAACAAATCTTAAATACATGTTTTTGTTCATCCTCTGATTCCACGTTGAATATTTTGCTTAAAGTAAAGCCTTAACTGTTTTGTTTAGAAAATGTTCTTATTGCCTTAAGTGTAATTCTGATAATATGCTGTGCTGAAATTTTCTTTTATTTTCTATGTACTGGAGGTATAATCCAATAATGTTACTAACCTTGTTTTACAAATCTTAGCTCACATTTCCATTTCTCCTCAAAATACTTCTTATTTTGGTTGATAGTGAGAGAACTTTACTTGTCTTTTATATTAATTTGCCATAATCCTAAGAAAAATAAAATATGAAAGATTAAACACAATGAATAATATGTAAAAAAGAAACATGCATGAGTATAAGAAAATAACAATTTTATATAATCATTATAACTAATGTTTGTCTATATTTTTAGAGCCACAGGAAAGAAAAGAAGAGAAAACAGGTGTGTATATAATTATGTATAAATCCATGCATACAACTCTTTGCAATGTTATGCCCCAATAGAGATATTACATCAAATTTTATTGCAAACAACTTAAAAATACTAAAAAGCTATTCATTCACAGAAGAAAACAAAAAACACCTTTTTTAATATACATGAAATCTGAGTTTTGTGTGGTTCAAAAGAAGTGATTGACTGATAGACTCCTATAAAACTGCATTTTTTGATACTTATAAGACACATTGTATCAGAAAAATAGCTCCTCTCATTCTTTTCTTTTTTCTGGACTTTTGAGCAAAATGAACATTTCTGGGGCTGCAGTAGGCAACAGAAAATTTCTGAAGGAAAAAAACACACACAGAAATCTAATTTTGAAAACAGTTAAAATTTTAGTTCAAGTTTCCTAATTGAATTTATGTCACAGGGTGTCTGCAATAAAATACCACATACTGGGTGGCTTTAAAAATAAACACTAATTTTTTTTCAATTCTGTGGGGTAGAATTTGGGTACCAAAATCAAGGTAGGCCATGTTTCTCTTGAACCTGAAGAGACAAATCCTTACTCACCTTTTCTGGATACTGGTGCCAGCAATCTTTGGTGTTGCTTGGCATGCAGATGCATCCTTTCAATCTCTGCCTCCTTCATCACATGCCATCTTCTCCCTCTGTGCTTCTGTCTCTGTATCTCTTTCCCTCTTCTCACATGTATACTAGTCATCATGCACTAAGGACCCCCTACTCCTCCATAATGACATCTTAACTATTTACATCTGCAATTACCCTGTTTATAAATAAGATAACCTATGGGTGTTAGGACTTAAGCAACTTTGGGGAGGACACAATTCATCTATAAAAGGTTCATCCTTTGCCTCATGTCTTCGTATGTACAAAATACATTCCTCCCATCCCAACATCCTTAATGTCTTAATCATTACGGCATCAACTCTTATGTCTAGAATGTCATCCAAAATGCTAACAAATGAAAGCTTCCAAATTTAATTATCTAAGTTATTTCAAATAGTTATGGGTGAATCTTGGAATATAATTCTTCCTGTACAAAAATTCCTTTCTACCTGTGCACTTGTAAAGCCATAAGACAAATTATCTTCTCCCAAATAAAATGTTGAGATAATCATAGGATAGACATTCCCATTCCAAAGGGGAAACTGGAAGAAAATAAAAGGGTAGTTAGCTTCAAGCAAATGTCTGGTTCTGAGAATGTCTTCTTGTGCTCAATGCTGGGATGATGGACCAGACCTGTCAGCTCTGTGAGATCACAGCTCCACACTCTCTGCTGAAGAGACCATTATCCCAGGCCTTTGAATCCATATTTTTAACTTTGGAGTCATTATTCATTCATTTAATTCTATTTCTTTCACTTTCTGTCCAGGTTGGTATAGTACTTGTACTAAATCTTCTATTTAATCCATGAGGTTCCAAGATATTGGATAAGGGGGTTCTCCACAGTTTTGGATCAAATCATCTGTATTCCTATTTTCTGCTGAGGTAATTAATTGGATCTGTGAATCACAAACCAAATTCTTTAGCAATCAGCCATATTAGTCTTATCAAGGAAATGTAGGCTGTTTTATAAAGTGCCTCAAAACTCTTCCATCATCTACCCATGACCTAATTCCAAAATCACTTCCACATTTTGTAGGTATTTATGACAGGTAAATCCCCCCACATTCCCATACCCAAACCTATCTGTTCCTTGGATGATTGTGATTAAGTTACCACTAACTGTTGCTTTTAAGACATTTATTCACTCAAAATTCTGGAGGAAACACAACACTACCTCAATCCTTAGAGGAGAAACCTTCATCGCCCTTTCTATCCTCTGGTGGTTGCCAGCAATCCGTGATGTTCTTTGGCTTCTAGATGCATCTCTTCAGCCACCACCTCCATCATCACATGGCCAGCTTCTGCCTTTGTGTCTCTCTCCTATTAAGAGGACCCACCCTCTCTCCTATGACCTCATCTTACCTTAACTAATTACATCTGCAGCAACCCTATTCCAAAGACGGTCACATTCTCAGGATTGAGGGTTAGAACTCAACAAAACTTTTAGTGAGCACATTCATAATATTATTTATCTAAATTCCTAAATCATGTAAATACCTAATTAGATCTTTCAGATAATCTCTTCCAACTCTTTTCCAAATCACTTATATTACTTTGGAACTGATTCCCATTTCAATCACTTTGAAAATAAATAGATAATTTAGATTTAAATCAATTATAAGTAGCAACAACTTAAAGACAGACATGTGCATAGCATTTTTAAAATACTGAGTATTTAGTAATTCATCATTGACAAACCACCAAGAAAAGTGAATAATTTTTATTAAATTTATTTTCCCATTATGGAAAAAATTGAGTTCCAAAAATATATTTGTGTTCTGGTTCATTATTTTTTTTTATAAAATTAAAATAGTCTCCCTGCCCAACCCAGGCACAAATTTAAAAGAATGTAAAAATCAAGTAGCAATATTTTTATCTTAAATAGTTTCAGAGCTGACTTTGCTTTCAATTAGGAAATAAAAAATAGGTTTGTCTCGCACTAGGGGAATACAGTCTCCCAGTTCCTCATCCTCTTTTTTTCCCCCTTGTTCTTTCTTTTTTTAATTTAAAATTATCAATATTGGAGACTTAAACCCAGGGTGTCCTGCTTCCTTATAAGTGCCCTATCATTGAGCTAAACCCACAGTTCCCCTCATTTTTTCCCCACTTATGGTTCAATATAAATTTAAAGTACTAGATTAGGTGAAATTGGGATTGCCCATAGACAAAATTATCTAGAATGTGAGTTCAATAAACCTCAGCAGAGGCTTTAGGTTTTAGAACACATCTTTTGGGGTAGAGTATGATCATGTTAAAATTGTGGCTTTATTTCTAATAATAATCATCAGAGTTATAAATTCATAAAGTCATGGACTACTTGGGTTTAAAGGGTAAGAGGGATAAGAACCTATTAAGCATCTACTGTGAGGTAAAGACTAATGTTGCATTTTTACTTTTATCATATGATTAGGACCAGCACACAACATAGCAGTTATTATATACATTCATAATTTGTGGAAACAGCTCAACAGAACAAGTTTAGAAAAATTTGTTATTTTTTCAGGATTTTCATGCTAATTAATATTGTAGCTAGGATTCTAGCCCATGTCTGATTTGTTTCAGATCCTGTATACTCCTACTAATAGACTGTCCCAGACAATCATTTTTATACATTAAGTTAAAAATTGGGTGATCTTCCCAAGTTTTTCATTGCAATTTAGTGTTTAAGTCCTAGTTCTGGAACTTACTAGCTGTTAACCTGAGGCAAGTATCTTCTTTCATTATATATATATATATATATATATATATACAACACACTTTTTTTTTCCTTTCCTTCCTCAAATCCAGAAGTATATATATAAAACTACCTCAGTTTCTTTAATTCTTAATTCTTACTGGCATCTGATCATAGCTTGAATCTATTTGCTCTCCTAATAAAGTATTTGTCATGCAACAAAGCTCAAAAATGTTTTAGCTGATAAGAACAATTAGAAAAGAGGAAGTTTCAAAGATCTTGTTTCAAAGATCTCAGTCCCTCAGTGGCTGACTCCTGTTTGGCCTGAGGTGAGGGAGAAAGCAGGGAGGAAGGGTGTGGAGGAGGAAGCCAACTTAGGACATGGCAATCGGGAAGCAGAGGGAGATCTTTGCTCATCCAGAACAAAATATAAACTCCAAAGGCCCTTACCTGCAATCACACCCTACCTGTCTACAGTTATTGCTCCTTTAAACCCTATCAGTGAATCAATCCACTGATTAGGTTAAGGTTCTCATAACTTAATCATCTCACCTGGGAAAATTCTTGCTATGTTTCACACATGCACTTATGGGGAACACCTCATATCTAAATACTAACAATACTTATCTACTCTTTTTATTTTCCTGATCACATTTGGTCACTACTGGTTTTACCAGATATATGCATTAAAAACAAACAAACAAAAAAGAAAATCAGAAGCCCAATATAATTTAAAGCTAGTTATTTTTTTTTTATTTTTGTTAATTATTACAAATTTTCATGTAGTGTAATTCAAATATGTTATATATTTATTCTTTTCAAGCTTCATCTGAAAAGGCACAAATCCACAGTATGTATGAACATTTCATTTAAAATTCTTCTATAGAGTCTTTTATAAGAAAATTTGCATATTTCTAAATTATTTTTAATCTATGCTTTTATGTGTATGCTTCATTATAGCCCATGTTTTGAAAATTAAGTCACCTAAATGTAAATAATTATTATTAATATATTGTTTTCATGAATCAAACCTTTCGAGTTTTTAATATGAAATAGAATCACATGGAAATTTACAATTTTTTTTTTCTCTATGGGCACGTTTGGTAGTTATTTTCTGTTTTACAAACCACTGGCCTAACTCATAAGTATTCATTATATATAAACTTATCGAGGTCATAAATACTTGAAAAGATTTTATATTTTGTTTTCAGAACAAGACACAGTGAAACCACATAAGAATGTTTCTCATGACAAACCAGGTATTTGGAAGGTGGTGTTTGTAGTCTCAAAGTGTCTCTCAATATGATAGCTGTCACAGAAGGAAGAGCATACAGTCAAGTCTGAAATTACTGGAGACAACTGATGTCTTACTTCATGAGCTTCTAGAATATTTACAATTTTAGACATCTTCTTAATACTTTTTGTACTGAGAATGTGATGAGTCCTATCCAGCTAGACAGCTACTCATTCCTTCCCATCAGAGATACTATGAAGACCATAATCACCAGCATCCAGGTGAATGGACTGCACAGTTTTGGCAGGTGGAGGAGTGCTGAGGATTGAACCCAGGGATGATCTACTACTGATCTACATCCCAGCCCATTTGATTTTGCTGGCCTCAAACTTGCGATCCTCCTTGTCTGTGTCAACAGGGGCTGGGATTGCAGATGATGCTATGTGCCTAGCTGAGCTCGATATTTTCATTTTTCCTGTGGTGAGCAGGATATCCTTAGACAATTTGTAATTCAGATTGTCTCATTCAAATGTGATCATCCTGACTCCCCAAATCTCAAGGATATTGAGTCATTCTCATCCTCCCTGCTTCTTTCCTCCTTTTTTCTTATCCCCATTCTTGCTTCTCCTTTTTTTACTCATTACTCCTGTTGGTACCTTTTGTAGACAGTTGAGCTGGACCCATTGTCGTTCTCTTGTAAAGAAAATTAGAGAATTCACCAAATCAAGGATATTAATTAGTTTTTATTTAAAAAATAGAAATGTAGTTTTTATTTAAATTGATTAAATGCGAATTTAAATTTGAGGCTCTCCAAGTCTTGGTTATTCTGTAAAATATTATTCTCCATTCCAGACGTTCCGTGAGTTGTTTTCTTGATGTTCTTGAATATGTTTGGGCCAGAATTTTTGAGAAATTAAAAACATTCTTTTTGAAAACAAATTTTAGGGAATATTTTGCTTACATTTTTTTAAATCAGGCCTCAGAAAATCTAGATTCAATAGGTTTGAATCAGTAGGATTGGATTTAAAAAGTATGATTTTAAAAGTTTAAGACATCAATATTTGAAAATATATGAATAAAGAAAAAAGGCCTGGACATTTGGGGGAGTCAGAGAACTTTTAGAGCCTCCTAGTTTATGTCATTAATGAAACTGTTATTTTCTGATGCTCCAAATGTTAGCTATTTTGAGGGGAGAGTACAGAGAGAGTGAGAGTTTATTTCTGAGTGTATATCAAATGTATGTCTTTTAGCCAGAAATATTAAATTTCACTTACAAATCTTCCTGTTCTTTAAATTCTCTTGTACTCAATGAAACTTTCTTAAGGAATATTTAAACAGCAAGTTCACTCTCCCAGCTGAGAGGTTTAATTTTATATTGGCTCAGTGTAACAGTCACTTTAGTTTGAGTTCAATCTCCTTGACTCTATAAAATCAGAGAAGACAGAGGACTGTCTCATTTTGGAATCTCAGGGAGGTACCTCCACAAAAATGATGAGAAACTGCTACATTTTATTCTTAGTCTGTCGTGAATAAAGAGTTGCCTCTGTGTCACAGATAAATATAGTGACACAGAGCAAAGGTGAAGGGTAGGATTTGCATTAGAAGGTTATATGTCAAATTAAATTAGGAACTCCTCTGCAATAAGATATGTGCAGAGGATGTCTAGATTAGACATTTTTTTGTGGTTCCTATTTGAATAGAAGTATTGTTTACTATTTTATTGGGAAAACTTTCATGCATGGGTGTTATTTCAAAAAAGAATACAAAATATCAAGAATGAAATATTGTCAATGTTTTGTATGATGTATTCAAAATTTCTACTTGTGTTAACATTTTTTCCTATCACAGAAGAAAAGGTAAAGCAGGTAAAAGCTGTCACTGTAGAAAAAACAGGTAAATAAAATATCTTATATTTTTCTTCAGTTTATCAGTTTTATGTTTTGTAGGTGAGTGTACATCCTCATTGGAGCATGTAGACTTGCAAGGACATAAATTCTAAGAATCTGAACTCTTGTGAACAACAACAGATATAATTTAATAAATTTTTATTAAAACATTTTAAATTAAAGTGGCATTACTTTATCACTTTAAAATGTAGTTAGCCTCAGCTCATAAGGTATGTAATGTATCACATATGTTCACTCTTATTTTCAAGCCACATCTCCTCAAATCATAAAAATCTCAAAAATTTGTAACTTTCTGCTACTTATACATCAGCTATAATAATTTCTGTTCATGGAGTTCCACAAAGAGTTTTGTGGCTATGAAACCTTTAAAATTACATTAAAGAGTAAAGTAGAAGACATAATATTAAAGTAAAAACAGCCCATCCCTAATTATTTCATGGGAGAAAGAAAGGAGTGCATGTGCTCTTGCGGTTTTGGAGTCTTTCCAGTGTGGAGAGAAAATAAAAATTCTGAGTCTTCAATACAGTTCAGATCTTGAACCACTAAATCCCCTTGGATTCCAAGATGGAAGTCTTCCCGGCTTGGCCACTAGGAGTCTCATTTCACACTCATCAATATAAGAGAAAGCCTATGAAGTAAATATTGTCACTTACCTGAAAGAATTCTATAAACAGAATTGAAACGTTGTTTCTTAAAGGTAAATAATATTCTGGGAGAACTAATTAGTTATACAAATTTATTATAGTTATTACATACTGTTATTCTATAAGAAGGAAGGAAACTATATGAGACCATTTCCCATGACCTTGTATGACAACTTTTCTTTTTTCCAACCAATGCCTAGGATTATAATGTTCCTCACACCTGTACTCTTAAAACATTATTATGCATCTCTGAGTGTCTCACCTTGTCATATGGATATTTGGAGATTATGAAAATCCAACCTTGAACATACAGATTGCTTTAAATGTTATGTCTGTTTCATGTGTCTTATCAGTTTTTGACAAGTCATATTATTAAAATAAAACTGCTCAAGAAATAGGGTTAACTTAAGCTAAGGGACACAACCTAAAAAATAGAACAAATAAATGAGCATGTGAATAAGGTACTTTTTTTCTACGATCTGTATTCATTGATCTATCATCTACTTTCCTTCATTCTCCACAGCCACACCCAAACCAGCAAGTAAGAGACGAAGAACTTAAAACCTGAGAAGTATCGCTTGACCATTTCAATTTTAACAATTTGCCTGTTTTTAATATGTTATTTGTCATGTGGCTTATGGCTAAATTGCCTTTATAAGTGATGAATTAATGTTATTCCCATGGCTTTTATTTAACATATTTGTCTTTCACTACTAATTAATGATTCCTCATAATTACATAGAAGAAATGTCTAAAAGTCATATCACTATTATTAATATTAAATGAGTGAGTGCATACAGGTCATACAATGTCCAAAATAATATATTAGGAGAGGTGGCAAATAGTTTAAACATACATAATGAATAACAAAGACAAATAAAATTATGTAAAATTGTCAGTGTTATAAACAATGTATATATACATATACAATCATATGTATATATAAATATATATTTATATATACATATTTGTTTTAAGCTCCACTAATTATACTGCAAACAGATTTTTCACATTTTAATTTATAAAATTGTAAACATTTTGTCATTTTTCTATTAAAGTCACAGAATTTCTTCATGGGTGCAAATTTCAAGGATCATTCATTTCATTGCACAGGTGCAACACAGACATTAGAGTGGTAGATAGTTTCAAATGAGACTACTAAACTAAAGAAGGTGTGAACATATGATTATTATTATGCAGGTGTTAAAAGTGTCTAACACTGTATCAAAATTATAATGTTGATCCTTGAATGACATACATTTGTGAAACAAGAGCACATATTCTGGTTTCTGTATGAAAAATGATTGCCAAGTTCCTACGAAAAACATAGGAGACAAGTTAGGAGATATGGAACAAATATATGTTGCATAATTGTGCAACAAATTTTGAATACATATTATTTATCAGTGATTTTTTGATTTATTTTATTTTTGTGGTGGTGTTTTTATGACAGCTTAATACTTTAAACATTGTCAACTTAATTTTCTTTTATTTTTCATGATTGTTGAATATAACAATTATGCAAATTCAGTTCATGGAAGTTCATTTGTGAAAACTACTGATCCCTAATTCATAAATATTTTTTTTAATAATAATTGGATTTCTCCATCTTCTTATCTACCTCATAGTTGGTGTATGGTATTGGAGAAAAATAGTAGTAATTTCACAGAATCTGTTTGTTCAGGAGTAAAGGAAAGAAAGGACAAGTAAACATCAAGAACAGATTAGGAGGACTAACCTTGGAAGTCACTGGAGAGGACCTACTCCTGAGCTACTTTGGCTACTCTGGTGATCTGCTCAATTTCCAAATATTCTCAACTCCTTTGAACATATCACTTCTTACATGGCTTCATCTTAAATTCCACTTTTGATTAAAGTGTTCAATCTCCTTAAACACTTTATATTTTAAATATTTTTCAGAGAATTAAGGGAATGTCAATTACTCACAAATTTTTTCTTTAATTTGTCATGTCCTGGAATTGGTGGAGAATATGAGATTCCTACAGAACCTGGAAAGGGAGATGGTACAAAATCAATACAAAATGTGATATTCTCTGGAGATAAATATATGTGTATTTAATTTTAAATAAGAAACGAGTGTCCAACACTAAATTGTTTCTGTTCTGGTAAGAAGGGAACTAGGAATCAGAAAGGCAAGGAAAGAAGTTGGTCAAATGCTAAAGGCAAATGTCATCTACGTTAAAATGTTCCCAAGGACTGACTCCTACTTCAGCAAAGAAAGAAGAAACTTCTTTTCTAATGTCCTTTTTGCATATTCTGTCTTCTTCTTAAACCACTCGGTTGCAAGAAGAATAGTAAATACTCTGGAACTGCCCTTTAGCTTCATGAAGGAGAAAACCATTCTCAGGATGTCCATAGACTGAACCTAAACTTGTTTATAAAGTGCTTCCAAGGCAATATGCTTTCTGTGTTACAAGTTATGTAAAAATGACTTTTGGAGCATGTCTCTTGTGTAAGCTGAGGATTGCTGCAAATATATAAATAAAAAGTGCTTACTGCATGAATAATCCACTGATTGCCATAAATTTTGGTTTCTCTTTCTAGAAAAAGCTGAAGATCAAAAAAAAGAACCTCCTTCGTCTATAAAAGCAGGTATTTTTACCTTTTTGTTGACATTTTATCTTAATTAATTATTTTTATTAAATTTGAAAATTAGAGCAATACATGCAAGCACTTTGCATTTTGTTTCCTGGTACTATACATAGTCTTGTGGTTTTGCAGTATAATCAAGTTAATCTGACCTAAGGGCTGTGGTATCGTCAATCAATCATGGATGGCCAAGCATGCTACTATAGTGGAGTAACATTAAAAGAACAGATATGCTTTCCTGGTGTATGAGGTTCTTCCATAATATTCTGTATTAATTGTTGGCAACATTCCTGTCATCTTATCAATGAATTTGATTCACTGTTGATAATTTTAAAATGCCATTTCAAATTACATACGTTGAATTTCACTAACTGTGAATGTCATTTGATATATTTCCTAAAATAGAAGTTATTCCATTCTATAACAGTTGACATAATTCTTTTATAATAAGATTCAATTTTTAAAAAAATGTTAATATTTTGCAAGATTCCAATACTAAGGCACGCAGGGGCTAACTGAATAAATATCCATCTTCTTTTTCCCTCTTCTTCCAGTTTTCATTCTGAAAATATCTAATAATTTTGAATAGGCAATCACTCTTATTTCTTAGTGTATGCTTTTATCATTATCTATGGATCTATATATGCACATATGCATATGTATATATATATACCATTTTTTCTAACATATATCATAACAGATATTCATAGTACTTTCTCTCAATTTTTATATTTTAGAATGCATCTTGAAGGTTTTTAAAGCATCATTACTTAAAGAATTTACTCATTAGTAGTATTCTATAGTAGAATTGCACATAGTTTACTTAAGGAGGCTCTTTGATCTATATAAAAGTTGTTGGGCTGGGGATGTGGCTCAAGCAGTAGCCTGCTCGCCTGGCATGCATGGGGTTCTGGGTTTGATCCTCACACCACATACCACCAAAGAGGTTGTGTCCGCCGTGAACTGAAAAATAAATATTAAAAAATTTTCTCTCTCTCTCTTTAAAAAAAAGTTGTTTTATAAATTTCCTTCAAAAATGTATGATGTCTACCATTTTAGTTTATTAATTTAGAAAATATGTGTAGTTTTATTAATTTTAAATTAAAATTCCTTAGACTATTTTAGTGAATGTTATATTCAATGCATTTTTATAAATATTTCTAATTTTTTTATAAAAGCTATATCAATTTATATTCAAGCTGTTAATGCATCAGCATTTATTTGTCCTTGTTATGCATGATTCAGATCTTTCACAATCATTGTAAAATACAGCTTATTTTTTAGTGAGTAGAAGTTTAAGTATAAGAGTGAACACTTAATATTTTTAGTTGCTAATTTCATAAGAAAAGGCATATTGAAGAGAATATAGGTATTCATCTACCACCCATTTTTCTTTCTGATACTTTATATCAACTTTTTAATTTATACTATATTTGGAGGGTTTAAATTGTTAATTAGCAATATATTTTCAGAAAGGAAGTGAAATAATATGCATTCTGTGCCATTCAGAAACAATAAGAAGCTCAGATTGTTGTAAACATTCATAGTATATCAATTCATGAATAAGATTTTAGTGAGCATAAAGAGAACAAAAATGTTCTTTATTTTAGAGGTTTACAACTGTTCTATAGTAAATTCATGGGGAATATGTCTTAAAAAATTACTCAAAATACTTTCCTTATTTCTTATTTTAACATATGTTTAGCCTTATTTCCATTCTAACTATAAAATACAGAAACAGAAAATATAATGGACAAATGTACTACATATACCTAGAAATTCACCACATTTTCTTTTCTTTTAACTTTTAGAAAAACCAAAACCAACTCCAAGTAAGTAAATAATTTAAGATTTTTTAAAAAACTACTATACTATTTTAATTTCATAGTTTTTAAATGGAATATTAAGTTTAAAAATATGACACATTTCTTAACATAATTAATATTATGCTATTACCTATTAAGAAATTTTGTTTGACAAAGGACATTGTGTGCTTTGCATTTGTTAACCCTTGAACATGTATTTGTGGAACACCTGCTAGGTATTTTACACTGTACTAGGATATCTGAGAAAATAGCCTAAAATGTTTTCATTTGTCATGTCTGTATAATAAAAACATGTATCATAAACTACTAACAGTGCAAAAAATAAGTAGTTGTATCTCTTTGTCTATTTTCAACTGTCATGATTCATTGAGTAAATTCAGTATGAAATTTCCTCTAATACTCACTATCTGGGTTAAAAAAATTTTACTGCTATGATATTTGCTTTAAGTATATAATATCTACAGATTAGATTTTTATTTTCTTGTTTTCAAAAAGTTTTGAGGCATATCGTTTTTTTAGCAATATGGACTCATCCTTTGGCATTTTAGGCAAGAATAAAAATGCAACAGTAAACAATGAAATCATTTCCTTAATACTATCAAAATATGTTCCAGACTTTACTTTGGGATACAAATATGTGAATTCAATGATGTATCTGGAGATTTTTTTCAAAGTTTCTGTATACTAAGGACCAGTTTGTTTTCTCAGCAATGTTATGATAGATTTCTAAAAAAGAAGCCACAATTATCTTGGAATAAATTCACCGACAATCTAAACATTAAATATTACCTTTGAATTGGAGAAATGGCTAGCATATTCAATGTCTTATTGCTACTAGTGTGGAGAATATTACTAAAATTAGGTGTTTCTAGTTAAACTGGAATGTTAGTCACTTGAAAATATTATCTTATTTATGAAACACTATTCATTATCTTCCTTATTCAATTTTAGTCAACTATTCTTGAGTTATGAAAATACTTTTCAAAAAAGTTATATAAGACTGTTAGCTAAATTCATCAGGCTTACCAAAACCTGATTTATTTGTTTGTTTATTAATTCATTCAGTTTATTTATTTTATTTAATTTGGTACTGGGGATTGAACTGTGGGGGACACTTAACTATTCAGTCACATCCTTAGGCCTTTTAATTTTTTTATTTTGAGACAGTAGCTCAGTAAGTAACCTAGGTCCTCATTAAGTTGCTGAGAAAATTGGAAATTTTAATGTTTTTCCTTCTCTGTCTTCCAAGTCACTGGAAAACCTGATATTTAAGAGAGATTTCTTACCCATTCAGATAAATTCTCTGGAAATGTTAACCACTTATACTGATTTTTGAGGGAAAGATAAAATTTTTTGGGCTATGTCACGTTTCTCACAACTAAAACACTCAGGGTAACTAACTCCAGTTAAACTGGGCTGCACAGAATAATCACACAAGAGACACTACACCTTTATCTTTAGGTCCTGTGATGGCTCCTCTGACCATAGGGGGTCGGTGGAAAGACAGAGAGAGAACACTTGCTGAACCCTCTTATTGAGGAGAAGCCATTCAAATGAGGCAGGGGTCAGGTTTCAGGGGATTAAGTCTAACTTTATGATGTCTTATGTTGGCAGATTGTCTGACATCTAGGAAGGTCACACTCAAAGGCAGAGCAAGAGAAGGGGACACACAAAGGGTGTTTCCATGGAACATTCTGTCCCAAACAGGGCAAAGGGGTAGTATTATAAAAGAATAGTGAGTGTAGGTCAACTCCATGAGTGACACGCCTACTCCTGAAGACTTGCCTTCTACTTCCTGGGACAAGGCCCAAGTCACCACAAATGTAGTAATTGGTCTGAGCCTCTTGCTTCAGGACTGGAAGGCATGGGTCATTCAGAGTGGCTCCCCACACTGCCAGGTTATATTTAGAAAGTTATTAGTTTATGAGTTAACTGAAGGAACAAAAGGAAAAGTAGACTCTTCATTCTCCAGAATTTGCATTTGTTATTTTTCATGTCATGGTCCCATTCAATTGCACTTGGTGCAACATCTTATAAATTATGTATCTTTAATAATATTTGGTGAGTGAAT